ATTTGAACAGCCGAACTGCAGAACTGCAGTCAGCTGACGTAGCCTGCAGTGTTGCATTTAACCACTGTGCCACCTCGGCTGCTTCTGAACTCCCCCCCTCCAAAAGGAAGAAGGAAACCCACCCACTCTTTTCAGGACCAAGGATATCCGGTACTCATTCAGTTCCTTGAGGTCTTCTTCGTGACGCTGCTTTTCAATCAGGACTTGCTGCCGAGAAACTTCATCAAGGAACTTGGACTCCTCTTCATCCAGGCCCCTGACCATATTTTCTGTAGAGAACAAGCCAAGATTGTGATAAACCCACACATTTGGCTACAGCATCTCTGCCATCTTGTTTCAGCACGTTTTTTTTTTAATTCCATCAGTTAGGAAGATAGGGGACAGCCTGTTTGATGGACCTCCCATTCAGATGCAATGGGCCACATTTGAGCTCCTGCACTTCAAAAATAATAAGGTCTCCCCGAAAATAAGGCCAAGTGTTTATTTCGGTGATCAAAAGAAAATAAGATCCTGTCTTATTTTCAGAGAAACATGGTATCATTTATGCGAATTTGTCTAACTATGGAATTGCATTAATTATGGAAATGTCATTGATTGCCTTTAAGGGACTTTTGGTTCCAGCAGACACCCCCCTCCCTCCTTCCACCACTCAAAACCACAGGTTTTACTGAAGATTATTGATAAAAAGGCTGAATCAACATCCTGGCTGATGATATGACAGAAAATGCACATTCATATTTACCTGTTTTGTTGCCACTGAATCTGCTTTCAAGATCCACATTTCCCAAGAATGTGAAAGTTCACACAGCTTTCTTTTATAACACTAGAGCTTCCTGCATACAGGAATATTCTTTTTTTGGCCCGAGGAGGACTTACTCATACATCCCACCGCCGCTCTGAAGCAGCCCCGAAATAGGTTTTATCATATTAAGGCCTGGGCTGCCAAACTATGGGAAGCTAACTTTTAGCGCAATTCGATGCACTAGCTTGCAGTGCCCTGGCTTAAGCGCATCATAAAAACCAGAAACCTTCATTTATAACCCAAAGGCTAAGTAAAAATGTTCCCATGTGTCTTTATAATCTAAAGGACTAGAAACATTAACAAAACAGTATGGGGTGTTAACGATACGAAATTCTATTCGTAGTCAGCAAAACACTTGGCCCTGAAAACAGCCTATGTCTGCAGACCAGGTGATGGTTTTACACACCAAGATAACAATAAAGCAGTGGTTCTCCACCTTCCCAATGCCGCAACCCTTTAATACAGTTCCTCATGTTGTGGTGACCCCCAACCATAAAATTGGTGTCTCGGTTCCTAAAACCATCGAAAATGTGTTTTCCAATGGTCTTAGGCGACCCCCGTGAAAGGGTCGTTCGACCCCCAAAGGGGTCCTGACCCACAGGTTGAGAACCACTGCAATAAAGAGAGGTGGGGTTGAAGAAGCACAACAGGCAGACAAAACCAATTACTTAAAATGCAGCAATGGACTCTTTCAACCAAATCAAGACAATTGTAGCTCAGCACAATGTGCAGCCACTCCTTTCCAAAAGCCAATGACTCCATGACAGAATGAAGGAAAGGCCATGAAAAAGGGCCAGTCTACGGATGCTGCATCTCACAACTGTCAGGATGATCCTTGCCTGAAAGGCTGTTGCCATCCAGGGTAAACAAACTAGAATTGTGTTTCTTAACTTTAGCAACTTGTGTGGATTTCAAGTCCCATAATTTCCCAGCCAGAAAGTCCATGCACTGTAAAGCTGCCAAGACTGTGGAATACTGAGCTAAGGAGTTGACTAATTGGATACAGTGGCCACATTGAGATAATTCTGAGTTGAAGGATTGGAGAACACCTCATATTCAAGCATCCAAAGATGTTTCTGAGCATGCAGGAGTGTAAATGTAACATCTATTTATTAATGCTTCAAAGCAGCTGCACCTCTTTTCTAAGGATCACGGGGCTGCTCTAAGGCAGCATTTGTCAAACTCAGCAACTTTAGGTGGACTTAGAGTCCCCATGGCTGGTTGGAGAATTCTGGAAGTTGAAGTCCACAATTCTTAAAGCTGCACCCCTGACATAAAGCTTCACATAGGCCAGAAAGATCAGGAAGTTAGCAAGAAGTGGTACCAGATGGAAAGATAAAACACAAATGTTTTCCTCTGGATGTCATTTCCCCATTGTCCACAGACGTATGAAGGTAGAATAAACTGGCAACTAAACCTGCAACTTTTGAAGCCAATAAGAAAAGTTGGCAGCTCTGCCAAGCTTCACATTTCAATGCTTTTCCCTTTCCTCAGCAGAAGTGGACAGACTGGTTTCTGGATTCCAGCAGTAGCCAAGAAGTCAGCTGTGTTACCTTAACACAACTGTAAGAGGGTGGCAAAGCCTTCTCCATAAGGAAGCATTTCAGGAGAGACAGTTCTGTTCTTAAGGATACCATTCCAGGGAGACAAGAAAGAAATTTCAGTGATTGAATTTCAGGGACGCTTAGTGAAACTTACTGAATTTGAATTGTTCTTCAAACTCCTGCTGCTTCTTGTCCTTCTGTTCCTGAAGTCTTTCATAGAGAGAACGGGGGTCATACACTTCTTCAGGACATTCTAGAAGGAGAAAACAGAATTTATCAGCCAGAATTCAGGCATTGCTCTAACAGAAAATTTACTCCAGCCATCGAGTTAATCAACCACAGGAAACAACAAGGCTTCCGTTTTAAAGCACATCCCACTAGTCATTTTTATGTTAGAACAGAAAAGAACTGATGTCTGTAAACTTTAACCCGTTGATTCCATACATGATTGAGGAGTTTAAATTATGACTGGTGAAATTAATGCACATTTTCTACAAAACTGACAGATGATACTTCTGCTGTAAAGTCAACAGTAGCTTTAATATAACACTCTGTTGCACATTCAAGGGCAGGTAATAGAGAGTTATTAAATATTAGCTTAGATAATGAGTGTAGATAAAAACGTTCCCAACTCAGATCTTGCGAGGAGCTTCAGGAAACCCATTAGCGTCCCTCTATCCCGGCATATCTTGACTTGCTCCCCATGTTTTTTAAAAAAACCACAGAAGTACTAAAAATGCTAAAAACTAATTGCTGAGCATGTGAATTGTCCTCTTCCTAATATTGGTATGCCAAGGAAGATTAGAATAATGAGTTGGAATGGACTTTGGAGGTCTTCTAGTCCAACCCTTGCTCAGAGATCCTATACCATTTCAGATAAATGGCTATCCATCTCTTCTTAAAAGCCACCAGTGATGAAGCACCCACAACTTCTGAAGGCAAGCTGTTCCAGTGATTAATTGTCTGCAATGAAAGGAAGTTCCAGATTGCTTCTCTCCTTGATTAGTTTCCATCTATTGTTTTTTGTCTTGCCTTCTGGTGCTTTGGAAAACAGGTTGTTCCCCTCTTCCTTGTGGCAGCCCTTCAAATATTGGAACTGTTATCTGTTCTATATTACTATACAAACTTCCTTCCTTAGCTTCTTTTTCCAGTTAAAAAAATAGCTAGGAATATTTTCAGGATGACATTGAACTGGTCTATTAGTTTCATCTTGGTTATTACTTATAATTTTGCTCCAATATCCTTCCAATCAGGCCTTGTCCATGGGCCAGTAGTTGGTTGAATGCTCCTTAGATTCACACCGAACATGTCAGATCCCTAAAAGTGATACTGCCATTCAATTGGGAGGAGGGGAGCCTCGGAGTTAAATCATTAGCTACATCTGAAACCACTGAGTTTTACAACTGGTTTCCTGTCACTGGGGTCTTATAATCATTGCAGCATCCT